GAGAGAGGGGAGAGGAAAGGGAAAGGAAAGAGAGAGAGAGAGAAAGAGGAAAGAGAGGGAGAGGAAAGAGGCATAAAATAATTCATTTGCATTTAATTGTAATGGTTCAAAGAATGTTTGGAAAAATGTTCGGCCCTCCAGCACGTTCACTTCATCCAATCTGGCCCTCTTTGAAAAAAGTTTGGACACCCCTGCTCTAGAGAAACTATTACGGTACCTCTTTCTTTATTAAGTATAGAAAAATCTATTGACTTTGATCTGTAGACAAGAATATTGTCCTTAAATGCTTCCTTTTATGTAACAAATAGCCTGCAGGAAAAAAAACAAAGTATCACCAAGCAAGAATATGACATAATGTACTAGCTCAGACTGTTTCCTGTATGGTGCTTTTCTTTGTACAGAGATGGACAAAATATGTCTCTCTAGAGTCTAGATATTGTTGGATTCCAGTTCTCATCTGCTGTGGTAGCAAGCCAGTGATGATGGATTATGGGAGCTAATGCTATCCCATTCCAGAATTACGAGTCTATTATTATTTTAACACAAGGGGCATGGTTATTTTCCTTCCTTTTCCACTGCCTTTTCACCAAATATTCCTCTGAAACCTGTCCTTGTTTAAATGTCATAGTAATCTCCCAGAAGCTTTGAACAGCACAAGTATGAAAAGGCCTTCTGAACCAGATCCATCACCACCCCCACCACCACCACCGGAAGCAGGTGATTTTCTTCTCCCTTCTCAAACAGATTTTTGCCATCTCCTGTTCAAGCAGAAGATGTTCTTTCTCTGCCTTACCCTGAGCCAGGTAAAAGCTTTTTTTAAGCAATAGGAAAATAAATCAAAGTGTATCAAGTCATTAATGAGTTGGCATATACAATCCATTAATAAATGTCAGCTAGGACCATGGGAGCAGTATCCTGTGATCTTGGAAATGGAATGGCTAGCAGATGATACTGAGTTCATAAATTACACCAGCCAGAAGTGCTTTGTTTGATTGACTTATGTGACCCAATCAATTAGGTCTTATTTAGCAAACCATGACTTGGTATATAGGCTTAATTACAGAACATCAAGCAGATGAGACAGTTGACTTGATTATTTGTGAAGCAGACACCATATTTGTTTGCAGATCTTGATTTTCCAACTTTTCCTCTACCACCACCCCTGGATATCTCCAACTGTGGTCATCTGAAGCCTCCTTTTCTGCCACCTCCACCACCCCCCGAGAAATTGCCATGGGCTCCAGACACCTATCTGGAGAAAGGTACCTTAGTAAAAATATGAGAAATGCTAAAAACCTTTTTAACTCTGCATGATTTCTATCTCCTAACCCTAGATGTTGAAATGCCAAGGCACCAAAAATAATGAATTTGGCTATATTAATGAGTGACATAAGATGTAAAACTACATGATTGTATTCCCCCTCACCTTCCATTCTATCTCTTTAGCATTCCTGGGTTATCTTAAGGAAGTAGCTAGTTGACCTTTTATTAGTTCCATTCTTTGACTCTGTTTTTCCTTATCTTGTTTTCAGTTGTGACTCTTTACCCTTATATTCAGAAGAAGGAGGATGAACTCTCATTTACAGAAGGGGTCATTATTTATGTAACACGGAAATACTCAAATGGCTGGTGTGAGGGCGTGACAAGTGATGCAGAGGGATTGTTCCCCAGGAACTACACTGAACCTTTGCACTGAATGAGGCAGAATGGAAGAGAAAAAAAGACAGGACCCTAACACAAGTTTTATGGAGAGCATGGAGTCACCTGGAGTAGTCCACAGCGAGATAGGCGGCAAATCAATTTAACAAGTAAATTCATGCACATCTTGATTTAAGTTGCCAGGAAATCAGTATTTCCCCTGACTTACTTAAACTAGGCTAAAATCAAGCTAATGAAAGGAAGGTGTCAAGAGTACTTTGGACATTTCCCTATGTGGGAAGAATCCAGAGAAATAAATATTTTGGAGAATATTAAAAAAGGCAGAATGTATTTCCCCAAAGGATCTTAAAGCCAGAAACTTATTCCTCCTCCCCCCCCCCACAGCTAGAAAACTCAACAGAAACCAGCTTTTAGAAATGCAGATGTAATAATCCATTCAGGAAGGTTAGGACCAGGAAGCTTAGAAGCTGATGAGATTAGGAAGACAAAGATCCCTAGAATCAACAATCTCTCACACCCCAAAATCCAACACAGAACATAATCAGCAGCCCCAGCCCCAGGGAAGCAGGATATGACCTTTGGGATATAATAGGATTAACCCACCACCATCAGAATACTAGAAAGGCACACTCAGACTCAGGTCAAATTTCATGCCACAGGAAACAACTCTAAATAAAAAAGCCCAAGAAGGCATAAAAACCCACCACTCCCTGCTCCATATGGTCAGCTTTCCCAGAGCCATGCTTCTGTCTGGCTTTGCTCTTCAATAAACTACTACCTTCTTTCTAAAGCAGTCTCCATTTTGTTTATTCCTGCTTGGACTGGACCCTGATGAAGATTTTTTTTCTACGCCTAAATCCATTGCAATGTAGACACAGGATTTATGGTTCCTCTTCCTCTGCAGTGCTTCACAAAACCTAAAATCTTGCCCAGCAGTTAATAAGGAAATTCATCAGGGCTAATTTCTATCCATACAAAAATAGTGGTTTCTTAGACTTCTGAGGTCAGGCTTGCCTATGTTTGATAAATGTGATGAATAAATAAATGAATCCAGCAACAAACTTTCTACTCTTGTGTAGAAAATAAACATGCTGTAAAATATCCTTGAAAGCTTTGTGTGTTTTTCAATATGCCAGCAGGTGGTGCTATTTTGTAGCAACCCCATAGTAAGGACTGACCCTCTGTGTCCAACCCTGAAATCTTGTTTGCATCCCAAAATTATACCACCTATTTCAGCAACAAACAATTGAGCAGAGAGAGCATGTTCACCTACAGTTTTTTGGGAGGGAGGGGCAGTCAGAAAAGAAAGAAAAGATAAAATTCTTCTCTGGGTTAAGTGCAACTCCTTATAGCTTTGTGGATATATTGGTTAAGTTATGAAGATTTCTTGCAACTGCTGCCTTCCATGTCTTTTGACTTTTGACTTCCCAGTACAGTCTAGACTAGGGGTGTCAAACTTGCAACGTCACGTGACGTGTCACGACTTTTTTGCCATTGCCAGCAATGGGGTGGGCGCAGTTTTGCTATGATGCATCCGGCCCGTGGGCCACTGGTCTAGACCTAGTGGTCTCCCACCAAAGGACTAAGCAGGCTCAACCTGACTAAGATCAGGTTACACTATCATCTGCTTTTAATAGAGACAAAAAAAGTTGAATACCAAGTTACTGAGCTTAAAATAGTTCACTGAAGTTCCCAACCCTTCTAAATTGCACCATTAAGGTATTATCATCCAGCCTCTAGCTGCCTTTTTGCTTTCTTGTTTTAAAAAAGATTGCTTTATATACTGGGAAATGTGTAGAATATTAGGAGGGTGAGGTGAATGTGGCTATAAAGCACTTCCTGATTCGTGACTGAGGAAGAACAAAAGAGAGGAAGCTGCAAACCCGTTTTTCCAATTGGAATTATGTAATTCATTTCTCCAAAGGTGGTGCTTCATTGTGTAGATACATTTGTCTCTGTTCAGCCACTAGAAATGTTTGTCACAACAAACTGTGGAAAGTTCAATCAGTGCTATGCCTGACGGCCAACAGAAAGTTTTTTCTCTCTCCCTAAAGTTAAACCAAGCTGAGTGGTCTCAATCTGAATATTGTATCCCACTTTAATTACACTCCATATTTATCCTGGCTTGCAATAATAGGTGGCTATATGCACCCTCAAATTTCCAACTTAGACCTACCTTTTAATTCCCTTTATTTTGCTGTATGAGGAAACCACATCAAGCAAAAAAGAACTGAGGGATAATTGAGAGGAACATCTGCCATTCTCAGATCAAAGGAGAGAATGAAGCTAATTCCTGAGGAAAAACATTAGCTCACTGGTAGGAGTGTAGATGAAAGAGAAGAAAGCTTTCCTACCATCAGAGATTTCACACATTCAGACTCTAGAAACACAGGAACCATGAAATAGATATTTGAATATACTTTATAAGCAATATTGTCAGCTGAGTATACAAAAGACAACTTAACATTTAAGTATTTGCTAGTTTTTTTTGTTTTTTTTAATGCTGTGTGTGTGTGTATGTGTGTGCACCCGCGTGCGCATATAAAAGAGTTGCCATGGCTTTAAATTCCAAAAATAACAAGCAGAAAGAGGGAGTACAACAGAAAAGAATATGGGAAAATTGCAGAGAATACAGACCAAGTGAGAATTACAAATAAACATTTTAAAATAAAAGACAGACATAAATTACTGGTTTTGTTATGGAATTTGAGATGGCAAGCACATTTCAAGCCAAGGAGAAATCCATGCTGGTGTTTTGGGGTTACAACACCTTGGGACACAAGAGTCAAGTGCTCAATTTTAATAAATGGAAATTATTCTGGCAGCCATACATTGTATCTACAGTAACAAACTCAGTGGAAACCTGTTCCAGTGTTGCACAGAGAAATGGCATAAATCTTATGATTCAGTGACCATTGTTGAAGGTTACTGCATAACTGTTCTGTGTCTATTGTGGCAGTGTTGTGTCTGTAGTTTGTCTGCATGAACATATTCCACTGATTCCTCTTTCTAATCTTGGTCCCATAGCTCCTTAATGTCACTAATTTCATATTGATCAATTCAATTCCTTTTCCTGAGCAAAACATGAAATGTAGAGTTTAGCATATTTAATATATTCACTCTTATCAAGCTCCCTAAATAATTTTGAGGAAGCCATGCATGGATAAGCCGATAAAAGAGAAGGGAACTTTTATGTTTTAAATTTTATCTATGATACAGCACCATCATTCAGCCTGGATGTCTGGTGCAAATTACTTTCTCCAGAAGACCATTTCTCTTTTTCCCTGTCTTCAATTTATCGGAGAGTACATGCAGCATTATTTGAATAAAACAGAGAAAAAAAGTCCAAAGTTAGATCTGAAATTACAGGAGAGTTATGGATGAATGGGAAATGTATACAGTAATAGGATATTTTTTTCATTCTTGTAATCTCCTAACTTCTACATTTCTAAAGTCAGGGATTAGGAATTGTGGTTATCCAGTTACTGCTGAATTATAACTGCAAAAAACCCAAACAAGCCCAGTGTAGGAAGGTGTAGCATAGCAACATCTGAAGGGCCATGCTGTACATCAATTATCATCAGCAATAGTTGTTTTTAACATGTTCCCTACACCAGGGATCTCCAACCATGGCAACTTTATGAATTGTGCATTTTAACTCCCAGAGTTCCTCAGCCAGACTCCTGCCTTATACATCCAAAATACTTTTTTTTTTGTTTCTATACATCAAATAGGCAGACCACATGCCTCATTTAGGCAGCGGTCTCTTTTGGAGGAGCAGAAATGCTTCCTTGAGGTTTTTCTAGATCAGAGTTCCCCAACCTTTTTGGCTTTGCAGAGTGGTGGTGGGGAGAGAGAATGTTTCCACACTTTCCCACCACTTCCGCAGCCCAGTTCTGAAAGCTCAAGGCCCAGAGGTGGACCGTGGCTGGGGGTTGGGGAACCTCTGTTCTAGGTGACAGATTAACATGATACTATAGCAAGAGTTTTCTGTTTTCTCTCACAATTTGCTTGGCTAACAGCCACCCTGCCAATCTGACATCCTATAAAGGACTTGGAACTGCAATGTCCAGCCCATATTCAGCTCTTGAAATCCCTAGTTATGGGCTATGTTGACTGAGAATTATGGAAGTCAAACATCTGGAGCAGGCTGAGGAAGTATAAGCCTAGGGCATTGATCTCAACAATAAAACGAGCCCTTAAAGAAAACAGTATGTTGTGCTCAATTAGATGATTATGTTCTGTCCAGCAACAATGCTACATTTAAATTACCTTTTAGCATTTTTTTTTCATTTGGGACATTTTTTTGAAGATATCGGTAACAGTTTATCTTACATTACACAATATCTGCTTTGTTTTGACTTAATATGTGTGATCCAGCCCCTGTGATTTGTGAACCATGGTTTATGGCTTAATAGTGCATGAACTCAGCTGAAACTGGCTAAGTGGGTAAATCATAGATTAAATGAAATCTGACCTAGCAGATACATAATTCTGCTCCATTTAGATCTACAGCAGATGATTTTATTGCCATCTTCAATGAGCCAGGACCCATGACTGCTTTTAAATGCTTTGGTAGCAGAGATATCCCCAAAATGGATAAGCAATTTTAAGAAATGCAATAGCATTTTCTTCATAGGTAAGCAAAACATATGAGGTGGCAGGCACCCACTCACCCTTCCTGGAATGGACTACCAAACTGCATAGAGAGCCCTTATCTCAAGATCAAAGGAAGGGAAGATCCAGAGACAGACAGTGCATAATGAGAGAAAGAGGAGGAGGGAAACAGAGCAGAAGCCAAACATGAAGCAATGCAAGGTTAATCGCTGAGATCTTTCCACGCTGTGTGTCAGGTAAATCAAGGAGAATTGCTGCTTCTGCCAAGTCTTTCCCTCAGTATGCTTTCTTGAGAACTTCTTGAAGGTGGGAACAAACTTCTAGGGCAGAGTCCCAAGGGACTACAGTAGGCTGGTAAGCTCCAGGTTGATTTTTCTCCATCTCCTGGATGAGATGATGCATGGGATAGCCCTTCCTTGGGAAGGCAACATCACTGGACTTCATTGCCATGGAAGGGCAGAAGTCATTGGCTCCATCTCCCACATAGAAGATTCTCTCAAATTTCATTCCCTCCTGAGCTCTTCCTTCCAGGTATTCAATCAGGATCTTCTGTTTGCACATATTTGAAGGGCACCGTGGGCAATTGTGTGAATGATAAGGGCCCAAAATGAAGTAGCCTGTCTGGTCAAAGCTAGAAGGGTTACTGAATATTTTACAGAAGAGGGAGTAAACCTCTGCAGCCTTCAAAGAACATTCAATGCCAAACATGTTGGCATCAGAGATGAGGATGATCTCAAAGTGGTTCTGGTGCTTAGAGAGGAACTGGAAGAGCTCCTGCATGCCAGGAGAGAAGGGAATCTTTTCATAGACTGCTTTGAAGTCGGCCATCTTTAGCCCTTGATCCCCCAGATATTTCAAAACCCGCTGCATGTACTCATTGTAGAAGCCTTCCCGGAAGGTTTGGCGTATGGACTCTGGCAGCTTTTTCTCAGGAGCAGCCTGGACAACAGAATCATCACTATTCTCATTTACAATGGTCTCATCAAAGTCAAAGACCAGGAGGTGCTTTTGGCTTTGTGTGGCCGCCATTGGTCCATCCTGCAACAAAAAGAAGTTTCGTTAATGGAAAGCCAACTATAATGATTACATTCCTTTGCCCTCTCACAATGCAGCCCATGGCCAACTTGATTGCCATCTTTATCAGGACAACTCCCAGAATTTCCCAGCCAACACATCCATTCCTGAGAATTCTGGGAATTGACATCCACACATCATTCTGGCTGCCATGATTGTTACAGTGCCACTTCCAGCAAACATAAGAACTGAATTTTTTTTCCCCTTATTCGCAAAACAGTGTTTGAAAGGATTTCTGCATATTCTTGGCTCCAACTTTGATGCACCCTCCCCTTCCTACCTGAACCATGAACTATCTGCAGATGTTCTGAGGTGCCAGAAACAGCAGGCAAAGGATGAGATGTTGAGTACATAGGCAGGTGCATCCATAGCAGAAGATCCTTTTCATGCACAAATAGATGATACCTCTATTTGGCCCTAACCAAAGCAAAGAACGTATGACTATGCTTAGAAATAACTGAAATTCTACCTTTAATATGCCCCCCCCTTTCTTTTGGTCTTGGTTCATGGAGAAAAGAAGAAGGAATGGTGACAAATTATGGAATTTGCTACTTATACATTCTATTTTATAATCTTTACTCTCTGAAAGGATTAGAATGCTTTGAAGTATTTGCATTCATAAGAACTAGTAACTTTGGTGCCTTAAAACGTCTTGAAGATGTGATGATGTTTAATCTCCCTGTCCAATGCCATTAAGATCTGTTAATATTCATGATTTTCACATTTATGATGAATTCACTTAGCTCTGATGCAATAAAATTGAAATTGCAGTAATTCCAAGCGAACTACTTCATTATTGCCCTGTTACTGCTTTGTGCCCCCTCTAAGTCCAAGTGGGACTGTCATGTTTTCTCCTCACGTTATCTTCAGTTCTTGACCTTAAGAGGCTTAAGTACTCGGCAATGGGGATCAGTGTTTAAGTTTCTTTTAATCCTGGTGACATTCTTTCCTGAGCAAGGCAATTTACGTCCTTGGAATTCTTGCTTGTAACAAAGGGGCAGTGATAGGATACCGGGGAATTTTGGAATACGTGAAGGATTGGAGGGAAGATGGCTAGGATAATGGGCAGCTTTAAGCAGTTATTTGCACTGATTTTTAATGTGGATTGGCTGAGATTTTGAGGTTTCAGTTTAATTTTAAAGAAGGTTTTGCACTTGTAATAGTGCAACAAAAGTTTTCTGCATGTTATGGGTGGAATTTTGATGACTCACCAGATGGGTTGTTTCTTCCACACCACCTCTAAACACATCCCTCTTGATTTTCTTACCTGTGCTGTTTCCTTTGCCATTCCGTTGGTTGATGAGGTCTAATCCAGTGGTTCTCAACCTGTGGGTTGGGATCCCATTTGGGGTCGATCGACCATTTCATGGGGTTCGCCAAGCAAGGCTGTCCGCCATTTTTTTCTCCTTTTCCGGCGGGTGCCTTACCTCCCTTGGGCTGGGCCAGCTGGTGGTTGGCCTGCTCCGTCTCTGCCGCTTGCCAGCTACGCCTCGGCCGGCGCAGGGAGCGGAACCACGCATGCGTGACGCTCCCGGGCAGGGAAAGTCCTCGACTTATGACCAATTGGGTAGTCCTCGACTTATGACCGACTTATGACCAATTGGGTAGTCCTCGACTTATGACCGGTTTAGTCCTCGACTTACGACCGGTTTAGTCCTCGACTTACGACCGGTTGGGGTCGCGGCATTAAAAAGGTTGAGAACCACTGGTCTAATCAATGAAAAGGCATGGCTTAAAGCTTTTGAGTAGCAGGGGTATGAAGTTAAACTGAACCACAGAGCTTACGGCCATCCTGTCTCACAACATGTTAGCTCACAGCATGTTAACACAGTATTCAATGATTCTTTCCTTTTCTACCCCACGTTTTCTGAGAATAGTGCTCACCTTAAGAAAGCATTGCAGCCCGATACCTTCGAAACACCTTTTCATCTTCAGTACTTTAGTTTCCAACGTGGTGCATCCCCCAATGTATACACTCCCTTTGCTGCTGAAGAAACCAGAGGTCACTGATTTTATGAATGCCAACTTTGTTTAGCCTGTCCTGCTCACTTTAGATTCTGCCCTACATTGAAAATAAACTCTGCAGTCTGTTTTCCCAAATGACTGTGGTAATTATAGGTAGCCCTTGACTTACAACCATTCATTTAGTGACCGTTCAAAGTCACCACAGCACTGAAAAAAGTGACTTATGACTGTTTTTCGCAATTACAACTGTTGCATCCCCTTGGTCATGTGATCAAAATTTGGATGCTAAGCAACTTGCATGTATTTATGGTGGCTGCAGTGTCCTGAGGTCACGTGATCAACTTTTGTGATCTCCCAACGAGCAAAGTCAATGGGGAAGCCAGATTCACTTAACAACCATGTTACTAACTTAACAACTACAGTGATTCATTTAACAACTGTGGCAAGAAAGTCGTAAAATGGGGCAAAACCCACTTAACAACTGTCTCACTTAGCAACAGAAATTTTGGGCTCAATTGTACCATAAGTGGAAGACTACCTGTATTGCTTGTTTCACAACAGAAATTCCTCACCAAGTACAAGCTTGCATAAGAGTCTCTCCTTAGCACAGTTCAATTAGTTGCAGAGCTGAAGAGATAAATATGCTAACTTCCCCCATCAACCTGGAAATGCAGCCTCTTGTGCCTAAGAAAATCATCACAGCCAAAAGAAGGACCGGTCTGCCTCTATTCATTGAAACTGCCTGGCCAAATCCTAATTAAAAACATATGTAGCAGGAGGAGTTATATTACAATAAAATGGCGAAATAGTTCGACTTTTTAAACAGAGATGAACTCTCAGTGCCTGGATAGTCATCAGATACTAGAACAGCCTCCTCCAAGTTAGCACTTTTCAGATGTGATGCATCCCAAATGCAACAACCTCCAGCCAGCTTGCCATCTCTTGTAAATCTCAAGTATTTCTTTCACTCTTTTGGCTCCAGGGCTGGATCATTTCCTTTCCCATGAGGGAGAAGCTAAGGTGGTGGAGAGCTTTTCTGGAAAAGTATATCTTTATCACCATATTTTTAATCTGTTGTTGTAAATGCCACATTTCTGCTGCCTTATGGGAAGCGTCAACATTTAGAAAGAACTGAAAAAACTCCAGGACATTACTAATCCTCATGGGAAAAAGAAGGAAGAGATATTGATTCTGCAATGCAAGCTAGAGCCAAGCTGACAAAACAGTTGAACGTTGACATTACCTATATGAGCAGGCAGCCAACTCTTGTAGGTGTTCTTACTCCCTAAATTCCTCCATTGGATATGATGGTTTAAATCGGGATTTACAAGCAGAGATTGAAAGTCAACAGCTTACAGATCTCTCCTCTTCAATGAAAGAGGCCTCTCCCCTTCCAAACGCACTGATGCAATCTGCTCTACAGCTGCATATTTATTACAGGATGAGGGTGTGAATACTCACCTGATAAACTTAAAGAACACAATTGTAACCGACTTTCTAACCAAACGGCTGGCAGCTCAAACAGTTCTATCTTTGACTTGTTGGTTAACAGTTAAAGTCAAAGTGGACTCAAAAGAGGTCTTTGTAAAACCAGCCAAAAGACAACTATGCTAAAGCATGACTCTCCTGTATAAAGTTTGCCATAAAAGCAGCCAGTAGGAAAGCCATGGGCAACCTTACCCCTACACCTGGGAACAGAAAGAGCTGACCACTACCCTGGGAAAGGGTGAGAAACAAGTCTCCAGCAGACATGTAACCAAAGGAGAGAGACATTTAAATTGTAAGATGGTAAGTACCATCTATAGTCTAAACAAATTACCTTACAAATATTAAATAACAGAGCAAATAAAGGATTATGGTGTTCTGAAAGAACAATTATCTTATCCTTAAGCCAGTTACTGTGCTATGAAAAGCAGCTTATTGGTTTCCATCTAGGAGAAGCTGAGAGCAATTTTTACTTACAGTTCCTAGTATGTTGTTTAAAATGAGGTCTTTTCTGCTTGCTTCCAATCTTCTACAACACGTGGTTTGCTCAAAGGAAACTCAGCTGACTCCTAAGCCAATCTGGCCAAGAGAGTATTACCACTTTAAAGAATAAATGTGGCCACTCAGCTTCATACAACCTCAAGGACACCTTACCAATTCTGTCCTGGGAGATGACTGCCCACACAAAAAGTCTTTATCTAAAGCAAAGTGACCTTCTGGGGAAAAAAAAATCTTATTAACTCTTTTAGTGCCCTGCGAGATTTGGAAAAAGCTGATATTAAAAGACTGGGACGATTTTAGAGAAACTCCAATGGCAACACACAAAGCAGCCAGACCTCTTATTGATCTGGTTTTATCAACTACCCAAGACAGTTGCCATCTTACAAATGCTACAGATATTTTATAAATTGATTTGCAACTTTTGCATGGCACCACTATTACCAACTACCCAGTAGAATTCCCACATTGGGCGGGCATAAGGTCCTCCCTGGTTGAGTATACTGCCATATCAAGAAATTTATCTCTTCAATTTTCCATTTCCATATTGACAACTGTTCTGAGAGTGCTTCTAAAGCCTTTTGTTGTTCTTTTTTTGAAAACCTAGAATAGAATAGAATAGAATAGAATAGAATAGAATAGAATAGAATAGAATAGAATAGAATAGAATAGAATAGAATAGAACAGAACAGAACAGAACAGAATAGAATAGAATAGAATAGAATTGGAAGGGACCTTGGAGGTCTTCTAGTCCAGGGCTTTTCAACCAGTGGTAAGGGTACTGTGGTACATTGGCACCTGGCAGGTGATATGCGACCATCCTAGAAAAGTGGTAGCAGAGGAGGGGAATGAGCTGGTGGCAGCACCGCACAAGATGCAGGGCTGTCACGGCTCAGCGGAAGCGCCAGGATCAGTGCCGCTTTCCAGCTGATTGGCGCTTCTTCGGGGCTGTCAAGGCTCAGTGGAAGCGCCAGGATCAGCACAAGGCTCCAGCTGGAGCTCGGCGCTGATCCTGGTGCTTCTGTTGAGCCCTGAAGAAACACCAATCAGTTGGAAAGCAGCACTGATTCTGGTGCTTCTGCTGAGCCCAGAAGAAGCGCCGATCAGCTGGAATGTTGCAGCATCTCCAGGGTCTTGTGATTTACATTCAGATGCTTGGCAACTGATTCATATTTATGATGGTCACAGTGTCCCAGGGTCATGTGAAGTGACCAAAACCTGCTGCAACCACCCAGCAGACAGGGGGAATAAAAACCAAGCAATCCCCCACCCCACCCCTGCTGCCAATCCTCAACAGAAATGCTCACAACAATGAAAACCTCGGACAGGAGGAAGAGCGCCGCCGGGTGGGCAGGCAGGTGTCTTGCTCGGCTGTGGGTTGGGGGGCACTTTTTTCAGTGCCATTGTAACTTCAAACAGTCACTAAGTGAACTGTTGTAAGTCGAGGACTACCTGTACTTCATCACTTTTTTCCTTTTTTTGGGGGGTGTCATCACGTTTCTGACACCTTGCTAGACAACTGATGGTACTTGGATATTGCCATATCCTAAAAGTGGTACAATGGGTGAAAAGGTTGAAAAGCCCAGTTCTAGTCCAGCCCCCTGCTCAAGCAGAAGAACCTATACCATCTCAGACAAGTGACTGTCTAGTCTCTTCTTAAAAATCTCCAGTGATGGAGCGCCCACGATTTCTGGAGGCAAGCTGTTCCACTGGTTAATTGTCCTCAATGTCAGAAAGTTTCTCCTTAATTCCAGGTTGCTTCTCTCTTTGATCAGTTTCCAACCATTGTTTCTTGTCTTGCCCTCTGGTGCTTTGGTGAATAACTTGACCACCTCTTCTTTGTGGCAGCCCCTCAAATACTGGAATACTGCTATCATGTCTCCCCTATTTCTTCTTTTCTTTAGACTAGCCAAACCCAAGTCCTGCAGCTGTTCTTCGTATGTTTTAGTTTCCAGGCCTTTGATCATCTTAGTTGCTCTTCTCTGAATTTTTTTCCAGACTCTCAACATCTTTTTTGTGATATGGCTGCAGTATTCCAGGTGTTGTCTTACTAGGGTTTTATAAAGCTGTACTAATACTTCACCCATTCTTGATTCTATGCCTCTGTTTATACAACCCAGGATTGTATTAGCTTTTTTGGCTGCTGCTGCACACTGCTGGCTCATAGTCAAGTGATCGTCCTCTAGGACTCCAAGATCACTCTCACAGTTACTGTTTTTAAGTCAGGTCTCGCCTAATCTGTACTTGTAGCTTTGATTGTTCCAGCCTAAATGTAAGACTTTGCTTTTCTCCATATTGAAACTCATTTTGTTGGATAGGGTCCATTGTTCAAGTTTGTTAAGATCTTTTTAGATCCTGAGTTTGTCTTCTGGGGTGTTGGCTACTCCTGCCAGTTTGGTGTCATCTACAAATTTGATGAGTTCCCCTTCGATTCCCTTATCTAAGTCATTGATGAAGATATTGAAGAGTACTGAGCCTAACACGGAACCTTGTGGTACCCCGCTGCTTACTTCTCTCCATGTGGATGTAGTACCATTGAGGACTACTCGTTGAGTACTGTTTGCCAGCCAGCTACAGATCCATCTGGTGGGGATGTTGTCTATTCCACCTCTTTCTAGCTTACTAAGGAGTGGGTTGTTATCTACTTTATCAAATGTCTTACTGAAGTCTAAGTATACTACGTCCACATCACTTCACTGGTCTACTAGTTTAGTTACTTTATTAAAGAATGAAATAAGATTGGTTTGGCATGATCTGTTTTTAACCCGTGTTGGCTACTCATTATAACTTTGTTTGCTTCTAGTTGTTCGCAGATCTGTTTTTTGATTACCTTTTCTAGGATCTTCCCAGGTATTGTTAAACTGATTGGTCTGTAGTTTCCTGGGTCCATTTTTTCTCCTTTCTTGAAGATGGGAACCACATCAGCCTTTTTCCAATCCTTAGGTACTTCCCTGGTGCTCCAGGATTTATTAAAAATATGGTGCAATGGTTCTGCGATAACATCTGCCAGCTCCTTCAGAACTCTGGGATGTAATCTGT